ACACGCCAGAAGAGACGAAGCAACGTTCACACGTTGGAAACGATGATCATCGGAGAGTTCGTGAGGCATCCAAACACCTTTATGGAGTTTTCCCATATTCCTTAGGTGTTTATGTATTGTTGCATGAGAGACATACAATTTGAGGGCCATTTCACAAGTGTGTTACCTTAGGTTAGACTCAGTAAGCATCTTCAGAGCATCAATATTAATTCCAACATGTCGGCCCCTGCCGTCACAATTTTTAAGGCTAAAGTCACCTGAATGAAATTTGCTGAACCATCATTGACACTTACGAACATTCAAAACATTTCTATATACTTATTTGATATTCTTTGTGGCTACAGAGGCGTTGTTTCCCTTGTATTAAAACAGCATTACTTGCCAAATGTGTGTCTCATCATGTGCCATCACTATAAGGGATTAGAGTATACTAAACTTTGCACATTATATATGCTACACTAACGTAATGTTTAGGAGGTTCGTTCAACTATTATACTTGATGTATGTTTTTTGAGGGGGGTAATGAAAGTGTTCCAAAACGTGACATTAATTTCTTGACAATCTAATAAAAGTATTAGTGTATGTTTATGATTATTTGGCATCCATTTAACAAGAGTGATATAACAACAAGCAGAACACCTGCATGCAAATTTATAAAAATTATCAGAATATACCTTACTAAAGAATATATTCTAAACTAGTTATAGAAAGGTAATGTAGGCAGTTATTTTAACTGCAATACTTGCACGCCTACTGGCAAGGAAAAGAAAAGTAAAGATTTTTCAGGAAATAATAATTGACTCCCATCTTGTAAGCTAAGAGCCAGTCTCCAATTCTGCTGAAAGCAACTGATTTTATAAACTAATCATCATGTTAGAAAAAATTAATGTTTTAACAGGAACCTTACCTATATAGCTGTGTTTGCCTAATCTTTAACTTGTGTCGTCTAGCTCATTTTACTGTCTTCAGAATATACCACAAAGAAATCAAAGGCCTTTTATCTTATTGATCTCCTATATAAACTTGTAAACATCATCGATTTTGTAAACTTGGATAAAACTGCCTCTTATCTATATTTTCTCAATAAAAATTTTTTAGTAGATCTTAACCTAATATTCCTCTTTTGAACTCTTTCCAATAAGTTAATATCCGTTTTTAGATAAGAAAACCACATCTGTGCACAATATTCTGTGTGATGCCTAATTAGTGATTAATGTAAAAAAAATATTATATGTTCACTTCTAAACAATATGTCAGTAAATACATCTTAGTAACCTATTAGCGTTATACACTACCAAAATCATAGCATTATCTGGCTGATTTGAGTAACTTATATGGTATTACAGGAATAAGCCTAGCACACAGTTACTGTATTTTCTTTTGTATAAGTTGCTATTTTTTTCACAAACATTTTATGTGCAACTTATTTATGACTTTTTCTATGGTGCACTGGTTGTCCATATTAATTTCTTTATTCATCACCATTTTCATAACAGAAATGAAATACAAATTAACATTCCATATTTATTACAATAACAATCATATTTAAATTGGGTAACAGATAAAACAATCATATTCACTCTTACAATTACCATGTTATCAGCAATAGAAATTTAACTGCACTACTTCAAAATGACCAAAATCAAAAGTTAATGTGAGTATGTTTTATAAAAATTATATGGACCTATCACTGGCACTGTCATTAAACCCATCAAAGTCCTCACTTTCTGAATCTGAATGGAACAGTTCTGCAATGGCTGATGGTAGAGTTCTGGCTAGTGGTATGTCATCTTTATTTATTTTATTTATCTAAAACGACAAAAACATTAAGTATAACAATGTATGCATAAAAAATACATGTCATATAGCAGTAGGACAAACTTCTTAAGATCACAGAATTGCGACCTATGTAGAGATGCGACTTATGTATGTACAAAAACTAAAAAATCCCTAAAAATCAGCCCTGCGACTAATATAAAGTTGCGACTTATAATAAGGAAAATACAGAACGTGATATCCATGATAATGAGAGGTTTATAGATCTTGTACTTAGAAGAACAGATGTAGTGATCTGTTGCAAGTGGAATAAAAAAAAAAGATCAGTTTGTGTTAGGACCACTGATTGTAATAATGTTAAAACAGTTGTATGAAATTGTGGTTAAAGAAAAGTAGTAAGCAAATGAAACTGTATCTAATGAAAAAAATGGAAATAAACTTTACTTGTAAATGTAATTGAAGATGATGATGTCAATCATACAAGAATACACACATAAGATCAGAATGTTGAAACAAAGGCTGAATCAAAAGTTGAAAAACAAACAAAACAGCTATAGTAAATTTCTAGTTCTCAACAAGAATGCCTGAAAAATGCCAAACTAACTGCAATCAAGATTCATATTCTATAGCTGACCAATCACAATATCCAATCTTCCGTACACACACACACAAGCAAACAAGGTAGTGTAGGATACAATAGAACATACAGAAAGTACACCTAGGGTCAAATCACCACATGGCCTCATACAGACTTAGCATATTATGAATTAGAAGTTTAGAAAATTTTTTGTGGATTTTAGATATACACTGTAGAAGAGTGAATCATGTAGTATTTGCCACAAGTATAAAGTTCTTTTATTAAGAAACTACCTTAACTTTAAACTGAGTCATTATACATTTATATTGAATTTCACAAAAAAGAAGTACATTGTGAATGATGATAAATTGCACTTTTGAAACACACAAGCCATTATTTCTTGAAGTTGAAGAACGTATGGACCTAAAGATAATTAGATTTAACTTTGAATGAGTGTTTATAGGAACATCAGTAGTAAGTATTGAATTTAATTAAATTGAATTGTGGCTACTTTGTATTTGAAATAATCAAAGCTCATCTTAAAATGGAGGTAAAAAAGTAGAAGTATCTGTACTGCGTGTTTGAAATTCTTTATATGAAGCTTGCAAGATCATTGTATTAGAAATAAGTAACAATAATATCTTAGTTACAATTATAAACACTTTATGGTCATGATTAAACTTGTCATATAGTCAGTCAATGTGAATGCACAAGATAAAATAGTTGGTTTGCAAATGAAAAAGAAATTGACACACTGTTTAAGATTTACAGCATGTTAGTTAAAACATCTTTGAATGTCCAAATGAATATATACATAAGTGGTGTAGGAAGGAGTTACAAAGTGGGGGTGCTTAGCTAGACGTGCAGATAATATAATAATTTACAGTTGCTATATTAGTCAAATATGTAAAAGTGTAGGTGCTACAGCATCCCCAGTTCTGATGCCTCTGATATATATATATATATATATATATATATTTGTGTGTGTGTGTGTGTGTGTGTGATTGCAGTATTTTAATTTTAATCTATGAAAACCACCTAATTGGAGATTTTACCATATCTGTGCAAGTACTGTATTGATTAATTATATTTTATAGAAATTAATTACATGAAGCATCTTGCTAGGAGATTTGTATGATTGTTGAAACAAAAATCAAATCTACATACAGTCTTATTTTTATTTGTCTGATTGCACAATAACGAAGATAAGCTTTATATTATGTCTCATTCTAAATTATACTATGGTATACAGGAATAGCATGTTCCCCTACCATTTGCAGTAACATAGAATTGTTCCAAACTATTGATTATTTAATTTCTCCACTGTCATGATAGTAACACGTGGTTTAGGGTGTCTAACATTATCTTGTTCTAGTTACTTCTGCCCTTTGTTCTTTTGTTAGATTATATCCTCTGCTCACAAGGATATTTCAGTACAGTATCTTGAGTCAGAGTTGAACTAGTTAAAATTGGAATATCCTTTGCTAGCCAAAATATAATGTCAATTAAAACTGATAACTGGCCAATGCTGTCAGGAAATAGTGGCCACAAGGTGACACTGGATACTGAACAAAGAAAGTGAGGTGATGTTCAAAATTCAATCAAGTACACTCTCCTTATTTCTTGATCAAATCTGATTTTATTTGTGGGTTTGCCTGTCTGATACTTGTTAGGAAATTGGTTTTATCTAAAAATACTACAATACAAATAATAAAGAAAACTTAGTTAACTGATACTTCAACAAAGAAACAGAGATTTTGACTTTAAAATTGGTTCTGCAGCTATTGAATTGTTTCAGAATGAACATTAAATATTTTTTACCATTCAATGCTACAAATGTTAGGTTCTGAAACACTGAAGAACAATGCTGAAAACTTCTCCAAGATTGATTTAAAAATACACAATGATGTTGAGTGTATACTTAAATGGAAGGTAACAACAGAAGTGGACAGAGATCAGAAGGTATGTCATGTGATATTTAAAACCTCACTTTACTCTTCTGTAAACCCAATCATATATTATAATTTGCTAACTAAGCTGTAAAATATAACTTGTGATATAGCATGTTTGTCAGATTTCTTTTTTTCTAAGTTTAAGGCCAATTAACTATCTGTATACTGGTATTCTACGACTATTTCATTGTTTCTTTTTATGTTAGTAAGCATAAATATGTCATATTCATCTTTTGGTCTGTATATTACTCATTTGATTTTCTATCTTAACATTTTAAAATGTAATTTCATCTTATGTTTTTTATACTACTCAATTATTGACATATTTTATGTAGGAAAAGAAACTGCACAATGCTTTGCAGATAATTGAAACTCAAAAAAAATCACTACTTGAACTACAACTTCAGAATGAAAAATTAAGTACAAAGTTAACAGAAAAAATGGATGAACATCATGATATTTGTCAAAGGTAAGAGTAAGTGTTTCCAAATACTTCTATCAATGACAAATTGAAATTTTTAATTGAAAAAAAAGAAAATTTTTTTTCTCCTTTGTAATTTAAAGTGAATCATAAAATGTTCAACTCATTTCATGTAATATTGGGAGAGGATTGGCATTAAAGGACCAGCCCAGGCAATTTAACATGCTGCATACTAGCTAAACAATTAAAGTTTAAAACCAATTTCTAAGAATGCATA